TCAATAATGAAAAAATATAATCTGTTTAAAGTTGAAAGGTTCTATCTTCAAAAACACGAAAGTTGGGTCATTTTTTATCTTTCAGTTATATGAAAACTATAGGATATAGTCGGCCGTAGATGTTTTTATCTCTGGGGGTAAGTTTACTGGTGGAATCCTTGCCAACGGCGAGTTTTGATTAATATGGTGCTTCAATAATTCGCGTGCCTTGTGATGAAAAGAATCGTGGGAGCTACCTGACTTTTGACAATGGCAGCAACTTTATCAAAACGCCGAAATATTTCCAAAATATGTGATCGGTGGGAGTATTTAGCGAGTTGATGATTTGGCAGACGTCCGTATTTAATTTTATAAATCCAGTATTTTTATGTACCATTTAATTTCATGTACCAATCGCCAATGTCTAACAGCTGTTTTGGAAAAATTTCAGCGGATGTATCCAGAAGCATTTTGATGTTTAGCGGGATTGTCAATTTGTAGCTTTTCCATGTGAGATTTAAATAATTGTCCAGCTGGCGGCCGATACGCCTGGTGAAAGGAGAATTGAGTTATGAAATGAGTGCATCCACACGATTGGCGAGTGCACGTGTGGAGTCCTCGCCACCCGTAAAGTGTATTTGTAAAAATTTATGAGATTTGTTTGCAATGAGATTTGTTGATTACGTTCATCTTATGCTCCTTGCGATTGTGATTGATCTAACTGCACCATGCTCACAAACGCACTTTCATTTCTTTCTTTAATTTTCTCGCCGAATTGGGTCCTAGAGATTTCCTCTTTGCGTATTTTTGCGACTGTCAGGGCTATTCTCAAGCCTAACGGGTATGTACATCAAATTTAACGAAAATCGGTCGAGCCATTTCACGAACATTTCAAGACAAAGATAAGATAAATCCGTTCTCGAGTCTTAGCGAGACTAACGAACAGTAATTCATTATACCCTTGCAGAGGGTATTATAATTTTGTCCAAAAGTGTGCAACGCAGTGAAGGAGACATCTCCGACCCTATAAAGTATATATATTCTTGATCAGGATCACCTCCTGAGTTGATATGAGCATGTCCGTCTGTCTGTCCGTCTGTCTGTCTGTTTCTACGCGAACTATTTTCTCAGTTTTAAAGCTATCGGCTTGAAACAAATTGCACACATTCTTTCTTCCCTTATATGTAGGATCGGCCGAGATCGTCCGACTGTATACTACAGCTGCCAAATAACTGATTGACTGCAAATGCCATAACATTGGTGTTAAGAGGAGCCCCTTACTCCAATGAATTCCGTTTAGAAACTGATTTTATTCTGTACAATTCTCCTATAAGTAAGATACATGAAAAACTTAAATCCATTTAAAACTACTTATGAATGCATTGCACGCTGGCCTGCTATGCGACCCTTTCTCAAGTGCGATAAGCGCACCACATATTTTTGTGTTATTTATGTTAGGCTGCAGGGGATCGTTTTTAAGGATGTAGTCTCATGTGCCGGCCTACTTTTTAGAGGGTATTTAAAAAAATTTTTTTTGTAATAAAAAATAATGCGATCGTTTCAATTTTCAAATATGTTTTTATAAGCATCATAAACTATTTGAAAATATTTTGTTTCATTTATTCTTGTGTAGTTTAATACAATTTATAGCATGCCAAAGTATGCATATAAAAAAAAAAGGTAGGTCCCTGGCGCAGGTGATTTCGACTGCTAGAGTCATCCGAAACAAAAAATTAGAATAGATTGTTGTTTTGTAAGCTTATGGCTCTGTCCCGTACTAGAATGAAATATTTTCATTAATAAACAACAAAATGGCGAACTCAAAAAAAAATTTTAAAAAATGTAAAAAATTTATCTTAAATTAATGATAAAAAAAAAACTAATCATTAAAAATAAATGATTCTAGTACGGGACAGAGGTGTTACTTTTTAAAACAACATATCCAAATTTCAGCTATATCGGTACCATAGAATTTTGTGAATCACCTGCGCCGCACACAAAAATGTCGTTTCGAGAAAAACGCGTTTAAAGTTTAGACGCTACCGAGAAACTTATACTTTTCGGTGTAGGCGCGCTCCCGATTATGGGCTGTATCTCTGTCATTATTTGATATTTTTATTTGAAACTTTAACAGTACATTCATAATAAACAATACTATCAAAATATAAAAAAAAAAAAAATTGATTTTTCAACCTCACACATGAGACTACATCCTTAAACCATGCCGTTTGGCTCGTATTTCATGGGTCCGATCCCTTGAAACTCTAACTTAAGAATTTCTATATAAAATAGTGTTCAATACTTGAACTTTCTGGAAAGGGCCACAAAAAGAAATTTTGAATTTGATGTGTGTTTGATTAATATTTTTTGAATAAATTTTATGTTTCTTTAACCTTTTCTTCGATTATAGTTTTTAGTGGACTGTATAAATCAGGGATCGGCACCCCAATACATTGATATGATTTTACCGCATTAGTGTTAGTAAAGAATAGCAGAAAGTAGGCTGTGTGCATGACGTTTCACACATGTATACTGTGTGTGTGTGGCAGAGCTCGGGCAGAGAAATTTCCTATGCCCCCGAGATAGGGCCGTGCCGACCTCTGGTATAAATGTCTATTTTTTTTCTTGTATTTTTTTAATACATTTTTTTTCTTTTAATAATTTTTGAAAGAATTATTTAATTGGAATTTTAAATATTTTAAAATATTTAAGCTTTCATTTGTTATGTTCAACCTAATGTTTGAACATCCTGCAAGGGGCCACAAAAGTACCTTAGTATATTTTTTTTTTCATTTAGATTTACTTTGAAATATTTATTTTTTGTTTGATTTTTTAGTAAACTGTAATTTAAAAATTTTTGTTTTACTGAGGGCTAATTTCTTTTAAAATTTTAATTTTTTTGTATAAAATTTTATTGATAATTAATACCTATTTTATCGATTTTTTTAAATCATTATTTTTTAAATTGTAAATATTTTTTATTTTTTATCATAACATACAGTTGTTAAATTTTCTTTTTTGATGCGTGTTCCTCCTGTAGATGATGTAAAAGGATCCGCCCTTGATGCTGCTGATGGTGTAGCTGGTAGTTTTTTCTGCCGCTGATGTTCTTCTACTCGCCGGTGGTCCTGCCGCAGAAAAATGCCAAAGACTTCAGCTGTCTTCGTTTCCAGGAACCCGACTTTTTTTTTTGCTCGATATTTGGCCTCGAACACGCCGTATATTATTTTTAATATTTATGAATTTCCGGTGTTGTTTATTTCCAGAAAAATTTATTTTTTTTTAAATTGAAATCTCATTTTTGATTTCCCACAACAAGTTGTGTTTTCAACTCCTTGCGCCGTATCGCTTTGGATATCCGATGGCTGAATTCCAGCCCAAAGATTTTCCATAAATATTCCGATGTAAGGCCTCGGACAGTCCTGCGCTAAACAAAAATCGCACTTATTGCTCGATGGCAATTACCAACCTCTGTGTCCCTTACGCCTTGGGGGGAAACAACAGAGGACTACGATTTTACACTGAGCTCTTTTATGCCCAGTTCGCAGCCGTCTTAGCTGCCTTGGACTGAGTGTGTCAATGCACATGTAGCCACTATTTAGGTGCCAATTTTAATAGGAGCCCCAAAATACGGTTGAGAATACTCCTTGAGCCCTTTTTTTTGACTCATTTTTATTATTTTTTTTTTTTATTTTATGCTCATTGACATTTATATAATTTTATTCTCTGTGTCCCTTACCTCTTGGGGCGAAACAACAGAGGATTACGGTTTTTAAACTGGGCTCTTTTTTACCCAGATCGCAGCCTTTTTTTAGCTACCTTGGGCTGAGAATTTGTATTTTTCTACAGGCACTTATAGGTGCCAGTTTAAAACCTGAGTCTCTTACCACAGGGGGAAAAACGTAAGGGTGTTAAGAGGAACCCTAAATAAATAGGTCTTCCTCTAATGAACTCCTTTTCGAAACTGTTCAGAGGAGCCCCTTACTCGAATGAATTCCGTTTAGTAACTGATTTTATTCTGTAAAATTTTCTTATAAGTAAGATACTTGAAAAAATTAAATCTATTTAAAACTACTTATCAACGCACTGCACGCTGACTTGCTATGCGACCCTTTTTCAAGTGCAATAAGCGCACCACATATTGTTGTGTTATTTATGTTAGGCTGCAGGGGATCGGTTTTAAACCATGCTGTTTGACTCGTATTTCATGGATCCGATCCCTTGAAACTCTAACTTAAGAATTTCGATATAAAATAGTGTTCAATGCTTGAACAATTGGTGTTAGAGGTTTTGGATTTCCTATGCATTTTTTTTCACTAATACGACATCCAAATTTCATAAGGACAAGTCGAATACAACTGAATCGAACTGAGATAGAATATTTAAATCTACAGATTCAGATAAATTCTACTGAACGTTCTACAGATTATATTTTTTGCAAATTGATTCGACCTACCCAATTTCATTGGGATCGGCCGTCTATACCCTACAGCTGCCATATAACTGAACTATCGGTATAGGCTAAAAATATCAACTTGAGTATTTTTGAAGAAACAAGTTCAGACTTTTTTAAATATTGTTTTCTAATAAATTTAATTTACAATAAAATTCTCATAACGACCGGCTAAGTATATTCTGTTTTTGTGAGATACACATATTCGATTTTAGCTGCAAGAGTATATTAATTTCTGCTCCTCTCGATCTTTGCTTTCCTTTCTTATACATAGATTCAAATTTGTAACGACGTGCACTGGAAATAATAAAGTCAGGCAGGCCGACTTCAGCTAAATTTTTTTCTTAAACATGTTTTATGTTTAAAACATCAATGTTTTGTCAATTTGATCAAATAAAACATTTTTTCCCCCACAACGAATCGAAGCTTTGTGGGGCTTAGTGCTTGGCAATAGGGCCAAAACCGTTTTAACGATTCATAGTCCTAGAGCAAGCATTTTTCGTTTAAGTTCAGAAAACCAATTTTAAAATTTTATTTTTTTAAAGAATAATGTATAATACTTAGCTACCGTGCATATATACGACCCAATTGTGTTATCACATCTTTGAGTTGGCAGGCAATTATGGTTGTTGATGGAACACTCATTTATGTCTAAAAGAGGATAAACAGATTACAACATAGACAAAGCAATAAAAAGTTGACTTACCAATGCATTCGTTTAATGTGGAATCTAATTTAAAGCCCGATAGGCATTGGCATGAGTAATTACCCAACGAGTTTACGCATTCCTGGTGCATGCCACTGCAGCTGTATGTTGTGTTCTTAGAGCATTCATCAATATCTGTACAACTGCCGTTTTGAAATACATAGCCATCTTCGCATTTTTTCTTTATCCGATTCGATTGCTTATTATTATTGCACTCATTGCAAATCTCTTTTTCTATTAAAATTAAAAATAATATAATTTTATTTTTATTTTATAACTAAAGTCGATAGCGTTGATCATCATTGTTTTTATAATTTTTTTTGTATAATTTTTTACATGTACATATGTATACCAATTCAAATTAAAACAAGAAAGGAAAGCTAACTTCAGCGCCGAAGATGATATACCCTTGCAGTTGAAACCGGATATATATCGCAAACATCGGATATAGTTGCCGATCCTTATGAGAATATGATAATATAACCCATTTATTATAATAAAAATTCTAAAAAAAATTCTTAAACTTATTTCGTCAAAAATACCAAAGTTGACATTTCTACCAAAAACCATTTCCGATTTCTCAGTTATGTGGGAGCTATAAGATATAGTCGACCGATCGTTATGAAATTTAGAAGGTCGGATGAACTGACAAAAAATATAATCTGTACCAAGTTCAAGCTTTCTATCTTCAAAAACACGAAAGTAGGGTCATTTCCGATCGTTCAGTTATATGGCAGCTATAAGATATAGTCGGCCGATCCTAATGAATTTGGGTAGGTTAGATCAACTGACCAAAAATAGAATCTGTACCAAGTTCCAGCTTTCTATCTTCAAAAACACGAAAGTTGGGTCACTTCCGATCGTACAGTTATATGGCAGCTATAGGATATAGTCGGCGGATTGGGCATGTCGTATTATTTTGCCAAAAATAGCGCTCATGTAAAATTTAAACTCTCTCACTCTTAAATCACTAAATTTATACCATTTCCGATCAATCAGTTATATGGCAGCTATAGGATATAGTCGGCCGATCCCGGCCGTTCCGACTTATATACTGCGTGCAAAGGATGGAAGGGTGTGTGCAAAGTTTTAAGTCGATAGCTTTAAAACTGAGAGACTAGTTTGCGTAGAAACAGACAGACGGACAGACTTTAAGAACTTTTAAGAATGCCAACAATTGTATTTTGTAAGATAGAAGCTTGGGACCTATTTTTAAGATTTTGTTTTCTAGTAATTTGGTTTTAATTTAATATTCTCATAAGGATCGGCCAACTAAATCCGATATTTGCCATATATAACCGATTTAAACTTCAAGGGTATTTCAATTCAAGAGTTACATTTTCGTGATTATTTCTGTTCGGCGTGCTTGCAAAACATTTCCAGGCTGTTCCTAGAAAGTCTATTGATCTGGTCACTCTTTTGTTTTAATTCTTAACATAGGGGCACATAAACTGAGTGGCACATAAAATCCTGACGTGAAAATTCAATCACAGCATTAGTTCTTGTGTTGTAAGTTAAATAAAACAATATTAACAAAGTTCAGTCCAATTTCAGAAAATGATCAAGGGCCGGTCGGCTAATGCAAAACGGGCAGCACTTGCTAACTTGCTATGCTGTTAAGAGCCCTGTGTCGTGGGCCGCAAACCATTAAGACAATCTGGTGTGACATACTTTAGTCGACTTCTCGACAGCACTCGTTGCGTTTTATCGGTACATTTTATTTCGCTCCCGCAACCTATGCAATTTTCTAACCAATACACTCCCACTTTCATTAGAAGCGTTGAAAATTATAAATATCAAACAAAAACTGGGCTTGGTGGAAATTGCAAAGAAAAAAATATACAGTAATCTAAAGATATCGGGCGTCAGCCAATAGGTACAACTGGGGGACCTACGCGCAAGCAATTGCGTGCCGTAACTGTGTACACCGCTGGTAGTGCGACTATGCACTCCACTTGATGGCGGCTAGTAACAGGTCCCGGTAAGGTCAGGTCTCTTCCGAGGATGCTGGCTAATCGTAGTCGGGCGGAGAGAAGAACAACCCCTTCCTCAAATTACCCCAATCCATGGTGGAACAGCATTAACCGAGGCAGGCGTGTCCAAGGCTCGGATGCTTATATGCGAACTCCGGGGGACCGGCCGATCACCCAGATTTAAACAGGCTTATTGTGACAAGCGAGCTATGTCATGATGGACGATCTACTTTCCGCCTACTCGTGGGTTAAAAATATTAATTAATTTAACTTAACAAAAAACTATGGTGGGGAACAGAATTTTGGAAATGGGGTCGAACTCCAAGTCTCTCAAAAGCCAAGAAGTTGCTGGGATGGAGAAGCTCCCTACAGAGGGGCAACATCCGGATTCGGGACGCGGTGTGGAGGGTGCCAAGGCATCTTCCTCTAAAGCGGGGCTAGCCATGGCACCACCGAACGGCATGGAGAAGAAGACCTCAGGGTCAACCTCTATACCAAGCAGCGGGGCCTCTAAGGCAAGCCTTGGTCCGGCAGAGTCTCACTCGACGGAAAGGGAAGAGGAAAGGCTCCTACAAGGACAGGAGGAAAGCAGCTTTCTTTCGGATAGGGCGGACCGATCGGCATCGGCGGACCTGGCCAAGGTCATGAGGTGGGCAAGAGAAATCGTGCTACATCCTGGAAGAGTACACCTTGGAGGAGAGCGACTTGGCAAGGGCTCTTAGAGGCGTCGGGACGATTTAGGATTCTCTGCTCAGCTCCAAGACGGAAGCAGAGGTTTCTTTGGTGGAGAATCACAAGGATGTCTCTGACAATTTTCTAGATAAACCTCCATCACAGTAAGGCGGCGTCAGCTTCCTTCCTACTCCACCTCGCCGAGAGTGCAGCTGATGTGACCCTCATCCAAAAAGCCTTGGAGTATAGTTTCTTGGGCTGCGGGCGTCGGAGTAAAGGCTCTGTAAAGCCGATTCAACACGTAAAAAGCGAGCCTGCATCCACAAAGAAGAACCTAAGCCTATTTTTGCTACCTAATTTCAGCAATGAAGAGCAATGTAGCCACAGCAATAGAGAGCCCAAAGGGACCTCAAAGGGTATGCTTGGCGTACATGGGCCACGTCCAGGATGTTTTCCCCCTGCACCCGCTACTCAAACAGCTGGTGGAAGACAGTGAGAAGCAGATGATCGACCTGAATATAGGGTGCGACGCCAACGCCTATCGTCATCAGTAAGGAAGTACTGACACTAACTAGAGGGGTGAGTCAATATTCGATTTTGTCCTAAGCTCAAATGTTCCGATGGGTAACAGGGGCTCAGAACTCACCTTCAACATCAAGAATAGAAGGGAGGTACTTGACATTAGTCTTCACTAAGAATCTCTAGCAGACAGGGTTGTTAGATGGGGAGTCCTAGACTCCTACGGACCTAGGGACTCCTTCTCGGACCCTCGAAACATAGAATTATTGGTCACTTTCAATAGTTTTACTCAGCTAGCTCTACGCAAGACAAAGTACGGAACACCAACTGGAAGTTCTACGAGAAAAAAATAGATAGATCCTTGGGGAAACTTCCAACAAGTGACGTTAACAACAAGGAAGGCTTGGAGGCTAACAGTGGCTTGCACCAAGGCATTCAACAGGGTCTGTCCCAAAAGTAGATCGGGCAGTAGTAAGTTAAAGAAACCACCATGGTGGTCGCAAGCACTTGCGGCCTTTAAAAAAGTAAAGCCTTTAACGTCGCTATTAAAAAAAACACACAAGCAGTTTAGGAGGCGTATAAAGGGGACCTGAACCTGTACAACAAAGAACTTCGTAGGGCAAAGATCAATGCCTGGACCAGATTCTGTAAAAGCATTCAGGAGTCATCAGAGGCCTCTCTACTTAGGAAAGTCCTCGCAACCACTGCAGCTAATGGATACATTAAAACCTGAGATGGTAGCTGGACCATCATTACGGGAGATAGTAGATCCTTGTCCACATCTTCAAACGACCTACGCAACTCCGTGCAGGCTCCTTGAAAATTGGTGCAGTTGTCGCTCCAGAGTTCCACTGGGCACCCTCGTCGGGCCATAAAACTGCGCACCGCTAGAATACAAGAGTCAGTTGTTAATGAATACGCTACCTCTAGATTTATTGCCCTTGTAGAGAGGCAGGTGAAGAGCACGCCGTATCGTTTCTCTGAACTGCGTCTGACCCGTACCATCAGAGGCCCAAAGTAGTCCACACCCGTGTAGCTGAAAGGTCTATGAAAGGCTGCTACTCTTAAATAGGGAAGTTCCACCATGCGTGGCGGTTTGGGGGCCGCCTGTCGGTTCTTGCATTGTTGGCAGGAACGTCGTATCCGAGCAATGGTGGATCTCAGCTTTGGTATCCAAAATCTTTGTAGTAGTTCGTTGACCCCCGTCTCGTGGTTAGCGTGCAGAAATCTTTGGTGAAATTCCTTTATGATAAGCTGCGTAATGTGGATGCCGCAGGGGAGTACGACGCGGTCGCTTCCCTTGATCATCTTGGCACGTTCATCCAGCTTTAATACTCCATCGGAATCCATATACGGTCCCAGCTTGTATAGTAGGTTATTCTTCTTCAATAGTTTTCCTTGTAAAATTAACCGTATCTCCGCCTGGTAGTACTCTGCCTGAGCGTAGAACCACAGAAGACTCTCCGTGACCCTGGTATCTTCTTGTGATGGTTGATTTTCGATGTCCGACCGTTGAAGTGCCTTGGCCTTCCATCGCCTCATACACCATACCGTTCTCGCGGTACTCCATAGCAGACGTGTCCAGATTGAGAACCGCTCGGAGTCTATGAGGGTCGCGCGTCCTACGTCTGTGAATCCGTCACATACGCCGATGAATTGCGCTTTCAATTCCATTCCTGACTCGTCTCCTTCTTCCGCCTCTGTCAGCGGCCAAAATTGCCTCTCTTGCCAAAGAAATTTCGGCCCGTTCAACCAGCGACTTTCTCGGTTGAAATCTGGTCCTTTGTTCCACTTAGTGGCGTCGTCCGCCACGTTCTCGGCAGTCCTTGACTCTAGTACCGTCTTGAATCTCAATCACACGGAATGCAACAAATTGTTTGTACTTCCTCTGGTCCGATCGCAGCCAACTCAGCACGGGCCTCGAGTCGGTCCAGAAAGTCCGTGTGCTCAGCTTCGCGCCAGGTGAAAGCTCCAGAGTTTGAGCTAACCTCGTTCCAAGCACTGCTCCCATGAGTTCAAGCCTTGGTATGGATGTCGGTCTTAGAGGGGCTACCTTGGTTTTGCTGCCCA